TTGATGGTACATAACAACAACAACAATACATTTAAAGAACCTAATCCACAACTAATTCTGGTAAAGCAAGAACCTGGCGCATTTTGTTCCCTTTTGCACATGGTCCCTAGAATTCAGAAGCTGACTAGACAGCAGCTAACACAGCGTAGTGTGATATTCATATAAATGCCTTAAAAAAAAGCCAAACAATAAATGTTAGCAGAGAGGATGAGGAGAGATAGGAACTCTTTTACACTGTTGGTGGGATTGTAAAATAGTACAACCACTCTGGAAGACAGTTTGGCGCTTCCTCAAAAAGTTAAACATAGAAATTCCATATGGCCCAGTTATTCCGCTGCTTGAAATATACCCTGAGAAAATTAGAACTGAGGCACAAATGGAGATTTGTACACCAATGTTCGTAGCAGTGTTACTGACCATCGCCTGAACATGGAAACAGCCCAAATGCCCAACCAGAACTGAATGGATTGAGAAAGTGTGATACATTCACACAATAAAATACTATACAGCACTCAGGAGCAATGATTTTGAAATATACTACATAACTTGGGAGAGACTGGAGAGCATTACACAGAGTGAACTAAGTCTCATAAGAACAAACACTGCATATGACCATTATTGTAAAAATAGAAAGTTAACTAGTGCATGGGGAGCCAAGGAGAGAAGGGGTGAGAGCAGAGGGGTGAAAATGGGTAGAGGAGAAATCACAGGTTGCATAATTTGGTGGGTGAAGAGAAAAGGGGTAAAAGAAATGAGAAACATCTGGGGTGGGATCTGTAAAGACAGGATAATGGTGGACGTAGTCCAATGGTGATTAATTTTATAAAACATAATGAAGGGGAATGACTGTATGAAATACAATGTGAATGAAGAATAGTGTGAAACACAATGTATATGAGCTTTGTAAGCAAATCAGTATACATTATTTTTTTTCTAAATCCCATGCTATATAGCTATCGCTCTTTGTGAAGCTTGTGAAAATAAAGTGGGTTTCAGCAGGAGGCTTTTGGACACTCACTGCCACCTGCTTTCTGTCATTTCCTTTATTTTCCCTTTGATTGTTGTGGCAGAGTCTCCTTTGTGTCCACTATTTGAAGGAAGCCAGAGGGCAAAGTGGCATGATGTTACGTCAAAGGTGCCATGACAGGGAACATGGTTTTGAAAGGAAGAAATGGACATCTCTACTGTGGGTCAATGTCAGCACTAACACTGAGCTCAAATCTTAGAATTCTTAAACTCAGTATTCTTTTACCAAGGAACTAGAAAGGGAAGAGGATCGATGACGGTCTGGGTATATGTAGCTTGGGAGAGTATTTGTTCCATGGCAGGCTTTGGGATGAGTAAATTAGATGTGTGTGGCATACTACCTTTCAGGATCCTAAAAGTTCCAGTGACTTGGTCCTTAGCACGCTGTACTGCTGACCCAAAGGCAGCACCTTCAACTCCACAGCGGGAAGATGGACAGTTTCCTCCTGTGCAATTTACTGCCCCTGAAAAGCCACCCTAAGGGCAGTTATGAGTCAATTCTGACTTGATGACAATGAATTGAGTTGATTGGTAAGAAATAATGTTGTCAACACCAAGTACATAATTTGAATCTATCAGCTGCTTTGTAGAAGAAAGATGAACAATTTCCTCTGGTGCAATTTACAACCTCTGAAAACTTACTGGAGGGTTATCTGTGGTTCGGTTCCAACTCAGTAAAACACCAGAACTACAATGCTAGTGTCAGAGTTTTAAAATTGTTATCATTTGTTCTGAAGAGTTGTAACTCCCTAATTCACAATGTTCCTAGGAAAGCACCCTGAATTATGTGATGCTAATCTGGGGCTGGTCACTCCCCTCTTTACTTTTTTGTCATTAGACTCCTATCTAATATCTGGGAAAGCATCACATCATCCGTTGAAAGTGAGCTTCAGGGATCCCTGAAAACCTTACCTGAGATGTTCTGATAGCAAACAATTGGGGCACAAACTTTCAAAAAGAGAGAAGGAAACCCTCTCTTGCTCCCTCATCCTTTGATCTTCATCTCTTTTACAGTGTAGTTTCCAACGCAATTCTCAGGAGGTTACTCCTCTCCTCTAATTGCCATTAGAGAGGGCCAAGGAATCTTCCTACCACATAATTCCTAACTATTCTCTTTGACCAAAGTTATTCAGGAAAAATTAAAGGGGCTCAGAGGATCAAGGGCTGTGTGTTTTCAGAATGAGGTGTCATCTTTGCGGAGTCCTTACTATTTTGGAACAGCAAGCGCAGGAGATGGAAAAGGCATTATTTCAACATTTAGGGAGCAGGCTTCTTCCAATCACAATAGAATGACTTAATTGTATTTAATAGTTTGTATCCTCACTAAAGGCAACATTTTATGATCTGGCAAATACCAGTCTGCTGTATAACCTGCAAAACCCCCTATATGTCCCAGGTACTTGTCCACCTTTCTTTTTCTTACTAGGACACCCACAGTATAAAAATTATAGGAAGTACACAGGTTTAACGAGCTTTGCTTGACTTCATTTACTGGTACTTTACGTACACATGCTTGTGTTTGCTTAATGCAAACTCTCAAGATTTTCCCACTTGAGTGTCAGCCCCAATACCCTGGCACGTCCTAACTACAAGATAAGTCATAGTACAGGAGATTTACTATTTGCTAGGCATTTGACATGTTTGGTCTTTGCCACTCTTACCTGTATCTTTTTATTTGTACCTCCATTTTACAGAGGAGGAAATGAAAAATTCAAGGCCAAGGTCAGAATGGGATTTTGAACCCTTGCAACCAATTTTCTTGCTGTTAGCTACTGCATCAAATTGATACTAAAGTGATAACATTCTTGTGACCTCGTGGTAAGGAACTTCACGGGCAATCTGAAGACAGGTGGTTTGGGTGCACCAGTTGCTTAATGAGAGAAATATGTGCAAACTCCCAAGTGATTTCAGCCTTTGAAAACCCACTGGAGAGTCAGCTATGAGTTGGTTCCAGCTCTAGGACAGTCAATAATAACAACAACAGCAGTCATCTGAAAGTTATGCATGGCTTTTCTTCAAGGTCCCTTACATAAGATCAAATCATCACAACATTGGGGAGTGTCTTTTTTTTCAAAGACCCCTTAATTATGGAAGAAGTGAGGGCTTGTCTGTATATCCAAGTCAAGTGACTTCGATCTAGACTCTGGTTTGCCTGGTTATGTGGAATAGACCTGTTACTACTTTCTCTGCAGTCCATTTTTTTACTCTGTGAAATGGGAATAGGAAAGTGTTGCCATGGACATGACCTTAGGTAACACAGCTAACATGCTCTGCACATTTTCTGTAAAGTATAGGCTAGCTACTTTTGTTTGCAAATGGTCTTCATACCTTTTTAGAAAGAGAATGGTGATAGGAAACGAACCAATTGTGCATTGGGTCTATTAATGTGAAGTTAATAGGAGATAATTAAATGTGAATTTTATAATAAAAGCCAATTCAGTCACCTGGCTTCCCCTAGTGAAATGGCCTTCCTGCAGCACTGTCCTCGCACCCGTGGCCCAGGATAATGTGAGTGGCGTCTGGCTAGAATGCAGTGTGTGTGGGTGTGTAGCTATCCTTCTCCAGGGGAGACCTGCTCTGTCCCCAGTTCTGCATTGGCAGTGGGATCCCCAGGGAAGATCTCTGTTCTCACCCCTCCCCATTCTGCTCCAGGCTTAAAGTGGGTAATAGCTGGGATTTCCTATCTCTTCCAGTTAATTAGAAACACAAAAGCAGTATAGTCACAAGGGAGAGACATAAAGAAGGAAAAAAAAAAGATACTAATGTGCTAAGGACATGTGTTTTCCCCTGGTCAGCTGTTCCTCCCTGGTAAGGTCTGGCATCTGGGTTCTGAGGGGGGCTGTGACAGGAACTCTAACCTCCCCCTACCCGCCCTGCCAACCCCTTAGCATTCCTTACTCTAGGTGAAATGATCCCATTTCTACCTTCAAATGGAAAAGTTCTCCTTTATTCTCCCGCACCACAGGAGCGCCATAAACTGTACACTCCAGCCCCGCAACTCGCAACTCGCTTGAAGCCTTCCAGAGCCAATGATGGGGGAAGGGGAGGCAACACCCACCTCCTGTGGCTCCATCTTTTATGGGGAGCTTCCTGCAAAGCACCTTGGGGGTTAAACTTCCACTATTGAAAAGGGGTGTCAAGTAGCTTTTCCAAAAGGGATAGCCCCCCAAATTAGAATGTATCATTTCTGTAATAAAACCAAGTAGGCATGAGACTCCACTGCTTTCTATGAAAAGCATGACTCGAAGCTCGCGCTGTTGGCGTGTGTTTGCTTACTCTGCGTCTGCTTAGCTATTATCTATGTAACGCATGCATTATCAGGGTGGGGAACGTCAATCACACTTAGCAAACACCCCGGAATACCGCAGAGAGCTCTTTACTGAAGGTCCTTTGGAGCGTAGCTCTCAATCTATTATGTCACGTAAATCAAAGGGGAAGCGTGGATCTGATCCTTCAGAGGCATCTCTTCTGCCTCGATGTCCTAGCCCCTCCCCCTGTGCTGTTTCCAGCTCCTCAAAGATGCTTTGTGCAAGAAAAGTGCAAGTTCCCAGGTCTGGCTTGACGAGTGGTCCTTTTTGCACTGCTCCTGACTTGCCCCAAACCCAGCCAGCCCAGCAAATGGCCCGGGTGTCCCCTCCTCCGCCCCATCCCTGGACCCCAGCCCTGGACCTGCGTTTGCTGGGAGGAGAGCGGGAGAGGGAGCGCGCATTCCAGAGCAGGCTGCTCTCGCTCCGACCACAGGCGGTTTTGTGCAGGCTGTCCCTCTCCTTCCAACCCCTGCACCCCCTCCTCGAAGCAGCAGGCAGTGTGCCTCCATTCAGCCACATTTGGTATGCATGAGCACGGCCGCAGGGAGAGGGGAGGTGGCTTTCTTAAGAAGGTTCAGTGGCTCAGGCAACGCCAGTTGACTAGTCTCCCAAGTTGCAGGAAGCCTCTGCCCTAATGGAGTTTGCAGGTGTGGAGGCGACCATGGGATGCCAGGGCCGTGGGGGACCGCTGCTTGTCTAGGCGCTGCTCAGGGTTGCGGTTTTTTGTTTCCTTGGTGGAATTTGGAAGGGGTCATGCATCAAACTGACGCGCCTCGACCCCTAAACTGGACTATCCGGAAGCTATGCCATGCAGCCTTTCTCCCATCTGTCAGACTTCTCAAGGTACTGTAACTTGCAGCTTCTTATAGCTTTAATTATCTGTTCCTGGTTTAAATAGCCAACTTCGCACTTGCGCTGGGACGCACCTTTTGGGGAGCTCAAATGCATGAAGTAGTGGTAGTTTCGCCCCTGGCTGGAGGGGGGTTTCTCATTGTGTCCCCCATTCTGGACCAAGGTGTCAGGGAACAGAAGAGGGGCTGAGCTCCACATGAGAGAGAGTCTGTGATCTCTGAAAACGGACTGAGTTCTTCCCCCACCCAACCATCTTGAAAATAGAATTAGATTAACTTCCTTAGGAGGTTAGAAACAGGAGTGGGAGTAAAATCTCTTCACGCCCTTGTTTTTAGCTCTGGGTTTGTTCCCCTCTCTGGGGAAGCCCTTCGACCCACTTTCTCTTTCAATGGAACCTGAGAGAACAAAGGATTCTCCTCGTTATTTGGAAAGCCCTGTGTAGTGAGGTAGTTGGTCAGGTAACAGCAGAGAGTGACTTTAAAATCTTCTTGTTTTAATATAGGAAAGGAAAGGTGTGATCATTTTTGTCTACCAAGTGAAGGCAGAGGTAATGGTGAAGTATTGTCAAACGTGTATTGAAAGCATGCCTCCCTCCGCTCGCTCCCTCATACTCACTGCCTCTGATTCACACAAAAGAAAGGTACTACACCTGGTGAGCATTGCCACCGCTGTCTGCAGCGCTCCTTTTCCTAGAACCACAGAAATGCAGGATACCGCCAAAGTCCCCACAAGTCCATGAGCATGATGAATACTGATGAATTGCCCTTCATCATCTCACTGGGAAGAAAGCACAAGTAACAGTTAAGAGATGCAGAAAGCAAACCCTTTTTGCCCCCAGAAAAGAGGATGAGTAACACTTATTTGGGGAAGTACATATCCCTAGATGCCGCATATATGTCTTCAAGTTAAAAATGCAAGGCTAAGTTCTTAATTCCTTTTTCCATATGAAATATTATATTATGACTTAATTACTGTTAGACATTGAGCCTAATGGGCTACAATGGAGGGTTAATGAATAAGTCTTGGATAAATTCCACTTGTGTGTGTGTGTGTGTGTGTGTGTGTGTGTGTGTGTGTGTGTGTTTCTCCTCCTGAGGCTGTGTGCTGGAGGGTTAATTTTAATGTAGATGACTAATAAGAAACAGCTAATTGGCCTCTGGGAAAAGACTGGTGTTACCTACTATCTGAGTTTTTCTTATTTTGTTAAACACAAAACAATATTAACTTTCACAAGGGCTACCCCCAAGTGCTGTTCAAATTCCCTTCATGTGGTTGTCATGGTGATTGCTTCCTTCCCTAAAAGAATATTTGGGAGGAAAAGCAGGTTTGGGTGTGGGGAATGGGAAGGATGCTTCCTTAGATAGAAGTGCATTTGCTGTAGTGGAATGTGTATGATAGGGCATGGAAAAGAATGGGGCCACGGAATGAATACATTCGTGCCTATTTCCTCCAGGACCACTCATGGCTAAGAACGTTCTGCCAATCTGTGATTGTTCATATTGACTCCTGTAGTACTTTGTGCAGCAAGAAAAATTTTGCAGTTAACTATCCATTGGCTTTATGACAAAATTATCTTTATATATTTACATAATGGTCCTGTTAACAAGTGTGTGAATATCACTCTCAAAGTTTTATTCATCAATACTCTAGAATTTTTAATGGGAAATATCATTCAGTATTTACTTGTCACAAAGCTGACTGAGTAGAGTCTATTTGAAATAGATTAATTCTGTCTAAAAGAGCTCTGGAATTGTTCGCTGAATACCCTGCTCATGGTGTATATACCAAGAGATACTGTCAACCCTATACACATATTGTCATTGTCGTACAGCTTGACCTCCTCTCCTTTACTGACTCGAGGCTTGATAAAAAATGGTCTAACAAAGTGCATTAAGTGACTATCTATGCATTTTTCTCAATATTTCAGAGACAAGATGTATTTTGCAGGAGAATGTTCTCTCCAAATGACACTTAATATTTTGAAAGATTGTGGTTAAACTGGGAGACTGGAGGTACTGAGTCCATTTCAAACTCCTAAAAACACAATCAAGTGTTACTCTGTTACTCTATCTTTTGGACACCGGAGGACATGAAAGCCACCTTTGCACGTGGGCAATTGCTGTAGTCACATTTTGCCATGCCACATTGTGCCATGTTTTCTCCCTCTGGACAGATGCTATCCTGTCTTTTCAGTGCTAGTCCCAATGGATCATTGTGCTGCCTTTTCCCTTTCAAGTGAAATAGAATTTCATGAATAGTGCTTTGCTTCTTTTGGTTGATGTTCTGCCTGGTTAGTCTACACACTAAATATTTTAGAACAGTAATTCTTACCATTCCATCCTCACTTTCTTCTGTACTTTCATTTCTGAGTCTCTTAACTCTTCTTCCTACCCAGAATCACCATGTTACTTTGATTGATGGAGTCACTGGACTCCTAGAAATCTATTGCAATCAGAATTGTAAAAACCCTATTCTCATACTTAACAGATAATTTCTGTTCCAGTCTCAAGCATTGCTTTGCTGTGATCTGTCCTTTCCAAGGTCCACCCTTCATAGTAAAAAGTGTAGAATGTGATGGCATGATTCAATTTACCCAAACTCTAATCACACACCATTTATGACCTTCCAATCCTTATCCTAACCTTGAAAATATGTTTCTTTGCTAAGTTGCTTCAGTACTATGCTAATGTTTAGAAATGGTTTCATAATCCTATTTCCTGTATTTCCCATTTCTTAATAGACACAGGATACATAGACATTAGAAGGAGAAGGCTGGCATCTGAAGCATGAATTAAAGCCAGTGCCCATGGGAACCTATTTCATATTCCTGCAGGGGGAAAAAAACCCCACGAAACTCATTTGTTGTTTTGTCCTTTCAAAGCAAATTTTGAACATGTCAACTTCTCATATTTGAATTTGGAAACAATAATCAAAGATGAATCTCTGGATATGCACATGGCAATGACAGCCAAAAGACTGAAGTAGTTTTCACATGGATACATTTTTAAATGGGACTCTTTCCTAGCTGTGTTTCTTTTGTTGTCAATAGCTTCATTCTTATGTGTTTCAAGATTTAATCTTACAGTACTATTAAACACAAAAAGTCAAGCTTATTTCAGTGACAGAGTGTTCCTAGCATATTTCATAGTCATTATCAGGTCTGTTTCTGCCATTGTTTTATTTGGAAGATGTTATTTTGAGAACTTCTGCTGAATTTGAAGAGTAATTTTAGAGCAGGGAGTTTTCTTTGCACTTCTGAGGTCTGGAGTCTTGGTGTGCTGACTGAAGAGGAGGTTTCTGCAAAAATGGGATGCGCTGAGTTCTGTATTTATACATATGGTGGCTAGATGTATTTAAGCTACTCCATTATAAAGACCAAAGGAACATTAACTTTTTTTAAGATTATCAAAGTTTTACAATAAGTTACTGTGTGACTTTTTCTTGCTTTGAAGAGTACCAAAAAGACACTATAGAAATGATATTCTAATCAGGCAGGCATAAACACCAGTGTAATCTGGTGATAAGATATTTAACCTGTTTGTAACTTGGTGTTCTCCTTTTTGACAGAAATAGCTTGAGGCTTACTGTGACTTTAACTGAGTGTTGTGGGGCCCGTTGGTAAACCACAAGCCTGATACACTTCGTTGACATGGAAGAGTATAGCCCATTGGTGGTAAAAATATTTACTATGAATTGAATATTAAAATGAAAGACATAAATGGAACTATAGTCATCAACTGGATTTAGGTCATAAAGTGTCTTATCTACTAAGCTAAGGCATTTGATGCGTATCCTGAAACCAGAGAGTACCATTAAGGGGAGTTTAGCGAGAGGGAGATAGCCAGATTCAAATTGTTCTGCTTGTAGGTTCTAGGGTGGATAGAAGAGAATATCACTGGAAACTGAGAAACCTGGCAAACTTGATGAAGATCTGTGCTAAGGCAAAAGTTACGGAAATAAAATAAATGTGGTGCCTATTTTCCTTCCAAAGATTTGGTGGTGGATCTGAACTGTCAAACAGGTGCGGCCTTTGAGTTAGCAGTACAACTCCCTATGGACTAGGCCATAAGAGCTTGAAGTAACCAGAGCATTGTTAATTTATTGTGGTTGATAGAAAAATCTAGAGTAACTTTCAAGTTCTGGTCTTTTCTGTCTGGTTTGATAGGGTCTGAGAATTAAAGATCTGAGAAAGAAGGAGTTCATCTTTGGTGAGCTAGAGAGTTTAAATCAGTTACTGATCTTAGTGGTAACAAGACAGAAGTCAGAGAAGTGTTTGCATCTCATTGATATACGTGAGTCGAATTGAATGAATTCTTGATGACTGAACTCTTTGCAATAAATAGTATAAAATCAGTAGCACCATTTATCACTTTTTCAGACTGTACTTGTGTTGTTACCCTTTTGTTCTGTAAAATATGTATAGTAAACTTCCATATTTGTTTTTTCTGGCATTCAGTGAAAAAGCTCAGATTCTGCTTGCCTCCCACCCCACGTTCTTTTGAACAGGAGTGTAGATCAAAGCAAATTTTATAATAGAGACCATAGTTGGGCTTCAGATCAGCCCAATTTCTGTCCAAGTGCCAATGTCTTACAAATTTATGTTGGTTCCATATAATGATAACCAGTGACTGTTAAGTTGCCCCTGAAATACAACATCTTAACAAACAAATGGTTTGAGACTACCTTCTAGCATTGATATAGCATTCCATATTCTATGACATTCCCCAAACTACCTTTCTTCTGGTGTTCTCGAATTCTTAAAAAAAGACAGTAGTGTTCGATCCATTACAACATTGTGTATTTTACATTTACACTCCCCAGGGACTCCCCTTTGTATCCTAAACTCTGAGTCTGTAAATGGTGGGTAGAATAATATCACTAAGGCTGGGTTTTTACTTAGCCAGGGCAAGGTGTCCATGAACCACAGACTAGTGAGAGGCAGTGACAAGAGAGTAACACACATCTATTATTTCTAGATACATGGGTGGATT